TTTTTGGCAAAAAGTTTCTCTCAAGCAAAGATTTTCCGAACAAAAAACTACAAAACATTAGTTTCAATTAGTCAACTATAGCACGCTCTGATAAATTAGTCCAACCACTCATAATTGACCTCAGATAAATTTTTTTTTTTTGTTGCAGTAGCTTTACTCATGGTTTTCAAAACCGGACCGGACCGGCCGGTTCGACCGGTTTAACCGCGAACCGGTCCGGCGGGCAGTCCAGGTTGCCAAATGAACCGGATGCAAGCGAAACCGGTTAAAAAACGGCCAAGAACCCGGTTGAACCAGGGAACCGGGGAACCGCCGAACCAGGCGGGTTTTGGAGAACCGGACGGTTCTAAAATTGGCGAATCTCAGCCGTCCAAAAATAATCAAACGGCGTGTAATGAGGCTGGGAAACGCTCCTCTACGGCTCTACCCTAAATAGCGATTCAAAATATTCGATGGATGTCATTTTTCGGCTCTTCCTCTACTCCCGCTCGAAGTCGACGACCGAAGCAGGCAAGCAACGGCTGCTCGAAGTCGACGACCGAAGCATCCCAACTGCGGCGAAGTCCCCCGTCCTCCAACCATCCCATCCACGGCGAACTCCTCCGACCATCCCATCCGCGGCGTCCTCCTACCGTGAGATTTAATTTTGTTTTTTTTTTCAACATCTTTTTCTCTCTTTGAATTAGTTGGATATTTGGATGACTTTCTTTCTTAATAACAACAGCACATCATTCAAGCCGCCGGCGAACTCCTCCGACGATCCTAGCCTAGCCGCTGGTTTACTGTGAGGTAAATTTTTTTTTTCTTTTTGGATCTTCCTACACTCAAACTATAATGCCTTATTATGAATTTTTTTCTATTTTTAGTTTTTAATTTTATTGGATTTTCCAATGTTATCTCTATAATCAATATGATTTATTGTTTAGCAATATCAATTTTTTTGTTGAATGACTGAAATCAAATTCATTATGTGTTTGTTTGTTAGCAATATCAACAATCAAATTCATTTATTTGTTAGCATATGACAATATCAAATTTAAAATTTTTATGTGGTGTTATCAGATTTGAGTGTTAGATAATAGAGCATAATCCTAAGGTTTTCTAAACTTTGTTGTGTATCCAATTTGCAATTTTTTTAGTCTTTTACATTTGCTCATAGCCAACTCTATCATTTTGGCATGTCTACATTCAAAGAACTCAATCTTTAAATTCATAATTCATATGAAATTTTATTGTGATTGTATTTAGTTGATCATATGAGGATGGATAAGCATCTGGACTCCAGAGTGCAGCTTCAAGTAGTGTGTGCGGGAAAAAGGTGGATATTGCGTGGAATCATTTTAGTGAGATATTAAGAATGCTGAGGGGAAGAGACAATTCAAATGTTTGCATCTGTGGTATGGTGTACAAGGGAGGAGATATAATAAAATTGAAACAGACATCTAGCAAGGAGTTTAAGGGATAATATATGCAGCATGCAAAAAGGTTCCACATGATATTAAGATTTCAAATGCAGGAGAACTGAAGGATATTTCAAAAGAAAACAACAAGTGCAGGAGGAGTTTAGAAAAGTACACCCATTTCCAATAGATGCTGAAGTAGACAGACAAGGAGGGGATTCTTTCCCTACTCTAAATCCCAATCCTCTGAAGCATATCAATCAGAACTTGCTAAGGGAAAGAGAAAGCTTGCTGAAATTGACATTTTCTTTAGCTCCAAGAACAAAATCAGGTTCACACAACCTTTCAAGTCAAAAGTAACTGTTTTGGCATCTAAAGGAAGCAATACACTCGTGCTGACCTATTGCTGTAGCAATAGGTGGTTTTTTGATTGTCCTGCATACCTTTCAATGCGTATAAGCAATTCACCATATGCACAGAAGCTGTGGATGCCTATTAACTGCTATAGGTCCTGGATATGAAGCTTCCCATCTTCACCATATACGAGGGTTAACCTACTTAAGGATTGTTAAAGAGGAGAGTGTTAGGTTACTCATGAATGCCCTATAGGAATTACTTGGATGACACAGCCAGAGATGGGTTACTCTATCTATGGCAGAGGATGGACTGATGGAAGAAGTAGAACTTTAATAAACTTTATGATTTATGCCCCCTGTGGTAATATCTTTTTTTGAATGCAGGTGGATGCATCAGATATCGTTAAGGAATGCCCTACAAACTTGTGCTCATTATTTAGTGAAAGTTGTTGAGCTGGTTAGGCCTGAAAAATATTGTTTCAGCTTAGTTACGATAATGCTGCTAATTAACAAGAAAGCAGGCGAGCTCTTGAAAGCTTAGACTTCAACACATAACGTTGGTCACGCTTGTGCTGCACCACTACGTTAATTTAAATTTTTGAAGACTGGGAGCGCATGCCTCTTATGATGACTCTGCAAAGAAACGCATCCAAGGTGACTATTTTCTGCCTTATAATCATGTTAAGTCTTGCTTGGCTTAGAAACAGGCAAGGTTGGAAGGAGATTGTGCGTCAGGAGCCCACACGGGTTTGACACAACTTTCATAACCTTAAAGAGTGTATGTGAGCATAAACATGAAAAAATTCCCCCTTACCAAGGCTTTTAAAAAATATTAACAAAGTAAGTTTTATGCCAGATATCTCAAAGATAGCCCAAAACCTGTAATGGGAAAGAAGCAGCTGCATTATCTTAGATTTAAAGTTTTGAAGATTGTTTAACAATTTCAAAGATAGGGCAGGTCCTTTGATCAGGTTATTGCGCATTGCTGGGACTCAGATGAAGCCATCACTTGGTTATTTATATGATGGAATGTATAGGGCCGGAATGCAATCAAAGCTATGTTTAGAAATTTAAAAGATTATATAAGCCATTCACCAGTAATAGTAAAAAGAAGATGGATACTCAGTTAGGAACACAGGGCATTCATGCAGGCCAACATATTTTCTAAATCCTCAATTTTCAGTAATGAAAGGAGAATTACTGTCAAAAGCCAGAAGTATTGCAAGGACTTGTTGAACTTCTTGGAAATAAGGATGTTTGTCATAAGCCCAAACTTGCAATGAATGAGGTTAGATTATTCCGAGATAGCTTAGAAAGTTTTGGAAAATCAATCGCTCTAACGATGGCAAAGGAAATGCAACCTGGTAATTATCTTTTAAATGTCTATGCATGTACCTTTTTTTTTACTTATATGCTTATTTACTAAACTTTATAACATCACATTATACAGATGAGTGGTGGAAGATGTTTGGATCAAGTGCTCCTAACTTGCAGAAAGTTGCTATAAGAATTCTTAGCCAAACATCATCATCATCTGGTTGCGAAAGAAATTGGAGTGTTTTTGAACAAATTCACTCAAAGAGACGCAATCATTTGGAGCATCAACGATTGAACGACCTCGTGTATGTTCGATATAATCTAAATTTAAAAGATAGGTATAATTATTTATTTTTGAACGCAATGTCGCAATCAATACATTGTATGTTTGTAGAAATGCCACTGAAATTATTACTTCATTTTTTAGGTTTCAATTAAAAAAAAAGAAGCTATGATCCTCTTGATTACACTTGTTTTGAAATGGTAGATTTTTGGGTCCTTGATGAGGAATCACCTCCAGATCTTGCATTAGAGGAGTTGGAAACTGAGATCTACGAAGAGGCTTCAATGCCTGTTGTTGAAGAAGCAAATATTGCATCCACACAACCTACACCTGGTAAGTCAGTGAAATATGAACATATTATTTAAGTTAAATAAAAAATACCCATTAATATTTTTAATTTGTTTGTGAAGGTGAACTTGAGAATGAAGGAGATGGAGATGACATTATTGACTTCAATGATTTAGGTGCATTTGTGGCTGCAGATTTTGATGAAGCGGGACATGAAGACTTAAATAATGAGGATAGCATTCACAATGCAACATTAGGAGATATATGATTTTTCTTTTGTGGAATTAATTAAGAGAAACATTAGTAACTCTATATATGTTTTTGTGCTTCAATGCACCCATGTTTTGAATGTTTTTGTGCTTTGTATATCAGTGCTAGATTGTAGTTTTATACTTTCATTCAAGGTTATAAATTCCTGTTAGCATATATTTAAAGATATACTTCTATTCGTATAACTCCTTGTTAGTATTTAATTATTTGTTGAATGTTGTAATTATTCTTTCATAAAAACAAATTTTGTATGGCAGACGAATTTTGAAATGCTTCTGGCAAAACCAAGCAACACTGCAAAAATCCAAATCATATTATAGAAGGTTTCTTCCTCAAAATCCAACACTTGACAAAAGGTATGCATTCAAACATTTCTTATTTCGTTAGTTATTCACTTATTTATGAAATATTTGCTTATATTTTATTATTTTATTGACTTAGTTGATGCCACATTTATATTGTTTGTTATGTTTTTTATGTTTTATGAATTTAATTGATGCAATACTTATGTTATTTTATGAGTTGAATATGAAAATGAAATGTACCTACATTGAAGTTATTAGAGGAAAATGTCTAATTCATTTTATAAATTTTATAATATTAATATATTATTATTTATTACGTCATCCGGTTCGACCCCGGTTCGACCGGTCGAACCTTGAACCTCTCCTTCTTCCGGTTCGTTGTCCGGTCCGGTTTTCAAAACCTTGGCTTTACTGCAGCTATCCCCCTCATATATTGATACCTTCTCTCAAATTTTTTTATTATAACCAGTTGAGTAATTGCAAAGAAATCATTAAATTAAAATCATTTTTTTATTAGTGGGTGACCAAACCAAAATTATTCTTTACATATCTAAGCTTCCTTCATTGTGTCAGAGTAGGCCATCTTCCCTCTTAACATGAAGGAGCCAGTACCTCTCTCAATGGAGTGTAAAGTTTTCCAGAATAGGATAGCTCCATTCTCTCTTTGGTTTCTCATTATTTTCACCATCTTTCTCAACTTCTCCACCTATTCTTCCGACCCCTTCAGCCATGGACCAAAGGATAAACTCTCACAACAAAATCAAAGCAGTTTGTCGCCAGCATGGCCGCCGGTGCAACCGCCGCTCATGCCACTGCCAATGGCGCAACAAATTGGTAAGCAAAATATGTTGAGTATAGAAAATTGGTGTGTTGAGAAAATAAGAATTTTGTATAAAAGAAATTGAGGAATTTATCATTGAAATTTTATATATCAAATACCAAAAGTTTTATGCTTATTTTTATAATAACCCAATTTTTAAATTACATAAACATGAGAGGGCATAGAGAGTTTTTATAATGTGTTATTTGCTTCAATCCAAATCTTCTTGCATGTGCATGTCTTAGTTCACTCTCCCTGCCTTTGTGCATACGCATAAACCTTGAACAAATGAGAGAGATTGAGAGTTAGAATATAATAAGAACAAATTAGCTTAGTATATTTTGATTATTTTTTTTGTTAATTTCAGTTTTATTGTCACTGATATTTTTTTTTTTTTTTGAGATAAATATTAAGTAAATTTTGATTATTTTTTCATATATTAATATTCTAACGTAAAGTTTATTCATATGACAAACAGTTTTTTTTTTATTATTTTCTTTAGCTTTCATACATTTGTAGTGCTTACATATTTTTAATGCAGCTAAGAAAACTCCTAAAATATTTCAGATTGAAAAATTCTTTTATTTTTGATTAAGAGTAACATAAAACTCTTTTATTTAAGATGTTTAATGTCCATTTGGGTTTAAGTTTATATTTCTGAATTTTAGGCTACCTTTTGGGACAGTTTATGTTATCCTATTTATGCTTTTAAAAGCTCCCCTTTGAACTGTAGCTTTAAATGTATTTTTTGAAAAATTACTTTTTAAAAGATAAATATTTTATTTGGGATAGTTTATTACTGTTTTTTAAAACAATTTCTTGAAAAAAAAAATAGTGACAAAAAAGCTGTCTCAGAAAAATAAAAATTTTAAAAAGCTGTAAAAAATCTGTCATCCAAAAATACTTTATTTTTTATTGATTGTTTTTTTTTAATAGGAGAGCAGTTTAAAAGCTCCCCAAACAAATCCTTAATTTAAAAAATCATTTACAAATAATTCCAAGTTCGTTCAGCGGTTTACCAGAAACACTCTCAAATAATTTGTTGGTGGTCCCAAGCATTCTGTGTTTAAAATTTTCAGCTAGAACTTTTTTTTTTTTTGAGGAAAAACAAATGATCTCTAGAATGTTCTTATAAAAGGGAAAATTTTCTCAAAATATTTTGAACGAAAAATTACTCAAAATAAAATAAAATAAAATATATTTTAATGATTTGTGAGATAATAAAAAAATTTATAAGACTACTTTTTTTAAAAAAAAATTGTTGTGATTTTTATACTGTAAAACTGAAAGGCTCTTATAAAATTTTCATAATCATATTATAAAATATAAAAAATTATCTTTTATTTTATTTAAATTTTTACCAGTGAAGAGGATAGTGGTGTGTGATCAGATAATAATTTCTTTGTTACTCGCCTTCCCTTGTTTTTTTTTCCCCAATCTTTCATAGTTTTTGTTATAGACAGTCCTCTGTAAATTTATTAATAATTTTAACACAACCAACCAACAATGAGTGATCATGTGATTGAATAAATGCAATTTAAATTTATCTTAAATTTTTTATTTATTTGCAGAGGAGTGTGATATGTTCAATGGGAGGTGGGTGAAGGAGCCCAGGGGATCACCCTACACTAATGAGAGTTGCAGAACATTGCCTGTACTGATGAATTGTGGCAAGTATGGGAAGGAGGATGGATATATATACTGGAGATGGAAGCCAGATGGCTGTGACATACCAAGATTCGACCCGAAGATCTTCCTTGCCATTGTTAGAGGGAAGAAGCTTGCCTTCATCGGCGATTCGCTCGCTCGAAACCACATGGAGTCCTTACTCTGCCTCTTATCTCAGGTTAGATACTGATATTTTGACGCAATTTGTGTCAAGATAAGAAGGTATAATGCTTTAAGTTAGAAGGTAAATTCTCAAAGTTATAAAACATTTAAATTTTGGGGGATTTACAAACATATCATACAATTTTTATGTATTTATATTTCTAAAATTGAATATTGTCTTATGTAACATTTTAATGTCTCAATCATATCAAAATATATACATGAAAAGATGTATTTCATTTTAAAAGAATATTAGCGATATTTTTTATGTTATTTTTGGATTTGAGATATATATAAGTAAATAGTAAAGTTTGGTTGTTAGATATGTAAATATATAAAAATTGTGTGATATGTATGTAAATCATCCAAAATTTTAGCTAAAATAATTTTGTCCTAGATATTGTTTTCTTCTTATATTTCCATATTTATCTTCTAATTCTAAACATTTTGGCTTCTCATGTTCACATAAATTATCCTGGAATAATAATTTATTATCTGCACATTATGACTGTATTGTAAAGTTCAAGGGAATACAATGAAGATTTTTTATATAAAGAAACCCTAAATATACTAAGAAAAATTTCAGCATGTAGATCAGGGAGCAGATGTACAAATAAAACCAACGGGTAGAACTAATGGAGAAAAAAGATAAAAGAAAAAGGAAATATAGTAATCAATTAAACAAAAAAGGATAAAAAAAATCTGATTAGAACACCATATAATGTTCACTATTTTTACAGTCAAACATTTTTTGAATTCCATAAATCCACCTTATTACCAAAAAACTGAGCTCACATCTTCAACTTTTCAGGCAGAATCTCCAATAAATGTCTACAAGGATCCTCAAGATAAATTTAGAACATGGGAGTTCCCTTCTCATAACTTCACCCTCATGGTCATGCGGACTGAGTTCTTAGTCATTGGAACGGAGAGAATGATCAATGGAACAGGCTCGAATGACTTCGACATCCACCTTGACAGGATTAACAAAGCCTGGGCTGATCAAATCTCCAGCTTAAACTACATAATCATTTCCAGTTCCAACTGGTTCTTCAGAAAGAATTACTTGTATGAGAATGGAAACCTCATTGGATGCGTAAATTGTCATGAGGGAAACTTAACTCAATTTAGCATCGGTTTTGCGGTTCAAAGAGTCTTTAGAACTGCTCTCAAGTACATAAGCAGCTGCGAAGAATGCAAAAAAGATATTGTCACCTTCGTGAGGACTTACTCTCCCTCACATTTTGAGCATGGGCATTGGTTTACAGGAGGATACTGTAATAGAAGTCAGCCACTTGATGAGAGAGAAGTGGACATTTTTGGTGGGATGAGTTGGGAACTCAGAAAGATTCAGTTTGAAGAATTGGGGAGAGTGAGAGAGGAGGAGAAGAACAATAAGAAGTTCAAAATTTTGGATGTGACAAGGGCAATGTTGATGAGGGTTGATGGCCATCCAGGATCATATTGGCCAGCAAAGAGGAATGTTAATGACTGCCTGCATTGGTGCTTGCCTGGGCCAATCGATATGTGGAGTGATTTGTTGTTAAAGGCTTTGAGGAAGGATTAGTACATTTGTTTGATTTTGATTTGTTGCTATACTTGTAATTTTGTTTATCAGTATTCATAACCCCATTGTATTTGTAGAAAAAAAAATTCATGTTGAGAATGGAATGATTTCGATGATTTCTTGAAGTACTTGGATTAATTTGAAGTGAAGGGGAAAACTTTTTTAGAGAACTCAAATTTATGTCATAAAAATATTCTTTATAAATGAGAGGATAAGATTTGTACAGTAATTTGCTTTTTTGTTTTAAATCATACATTTGTAGTAGCACTATGCGTGCAGTTTTTTAAACTAAACTGAATGCATCATTACAGACATTGACAACATACAATGCCAATAATGAATTATTCACTGCTTAAATGAAATGTTTTGAATCTTAATTCCAAAAACCATACAATAAAACAAAAAGTTGTCCTGAATTTTTTTGGGACATTTATGCCAATTAAGACAAATTCACACACACCTCACATACACAAGACTCGAATCCAAAACCTCTTTATTGATAGCCAAAGCTCCCAACCAACATATCAAGATGAGCTGTGTATAGTTGTCTTGAATGACACTTAATATTCATGTTGTTATGTTTAATAATGATTAGTAGTTATTTATTTATTATACTGACTATGTTGTGTTAGTTCAAGTTATTGGATAATAAATAATTTACTTTAGTGGAGTATAAGCGAGCCTTATAAATGTATGTGAGGTCTAGTTAGACCACTTGAGGATTATGTTGAAAGAATGTCATAAGAAGATTCCCTTGACGTGACTCTCAACTTTAATACCATAGAAAGAGAAATAAAATCAGCACTATTAAAAGTTCTTTGGGACTATAATTAGTTAAAATGCCTTATTCGGGAGAAAAACAGGGCAAAAGAGATGATAATAAATAATAAGGTCCTGTCTTATAAGGTAATGGAGGTTGGAGGAGGGATCTTAACGATGAAGACATTTTCAATGATTTGTGATGATTTTGGATGAAGGGGGATTGGTTTGGAGATGGCTTGGAGGTGATTAGAATTGACTTTATAAGGTTTTGTGTAAGATGTACCAGAGAAAAGAGGGGATTACTTGGTGGAGCTTGCATTTATCATGGGCTTAGTATGGTTGTTTAAGGATGTCACTAGGAGAGGTGAAAGATCTACATGGTTTTGGAAATATATAGTGGTGCAAATATTAGAAGTTGTATTGGGTTAATGGAGAGAGTAAATGGTGATTGTGTTGAATATTGGAGGATGTTATGAGGGTTGATGGGGAATTGTAGAAGGAGACTATGATATTGGGGGAGTATTTAAATGAAGAGATGCAATGAGAAGAGGGCATAAAAAGCAAATGATAAATCTTGTACCCACTAAAGTATTAAGGTTTAAAAATTTCACTAAGCATCTCCAAATGAATAGAGCATGAAGCATCTTTCACAAATTTGTTGAAGTAAACCATAATTTATTTCATCCTTGAATTCCACGGTTATATAGCTTTAGTATGTATAGAAAATAATCTTATGATGGTATGCCTTGCTTGATATGGACTTATTTTTAGGCCATTAAAAATGTCACATATATTTGTTACATGGCAATGAAATCCAATTATTGATGGTTGCACAGGATATTTATATTTATACACTGTTTAGATTTCTAAGAAAAGTTTACTTTTTCTATGGTATATGTCTTGTTTGAATGCAAGTACATCATGTATCTTATAAAGTAATAAAATGATGAATAGAATATCGATCCCACAAGGAAACATTAGAAATATCTTATGTTCACTTTACTATTGCTTACTAGACTGTTATGTTGATCTAATGAGCTAGTTAAAAGAGTTTGTAGGTTAAAAATAAAAACTTCCAATTGCAAAAAATAAAGTTTTCTAATTTTTGTAAAATTTGAACCTATGATTTATCAAAAGAATATGATTGTTTAAAGATGTTTATTTCCTATGATTATGTGGAATAGAGCAATTTTGCTGGTTTTTGTTGAGCTCCTTGGATAATAAGTTAGGATGCTCATTGCCTAAAGTTAAGCTATCTCCTTAAGGCCTCATAACCCTAACCACCATATGTCTATGTTATGGCCGGACTTCATTTTAAATTCTCTAGTCGTTCTTCTATTCCTCCATTGAAGCTCTAGATCACACTAAGTTTTTAATTTATGTGCAGTTTATATATAACCCAATTGAAATGTGGAGAAGTTAAAAAGAACATGAATATAATAAATATTAAATCGTACTCTAAGAAATACATTCCCTTCAATTCATCATAGTTCATAAAAGTTGATTAGTTACACATGGAGGCATTGTTATACAAAACAAACATAATAAACAAAACAAACATTTAATGATACTAAATTGTTCACAAGTAAAAATTACAAATACAAAACAAAAATTGAAATAAGTGAATGTAAAGTTTAGAAATGGCCTGAAAATAAATCTACAATCCTTTTCTCACTTTCTTGCTTTGCTCCACTCCAATACAAGACACCAATATAAGACCACAAGTTACACACTCCACTATAAAAACTTCACACTCATGAAAGTCATACCTCCAGGTTGCCAACCTCTCTACATAAGGACTAAGGTGACTATTTATAGTTTTCATTTTTTATGAACGTACATTGCAGTCCTAGCTTGGTGGCACTATGGTGATGCTTAAACAACACATCAGTTCACCATTAGTCACATTGGTTCATAGATCCAATTGACACCTGCCCTACGCCGGTGATTTGGCGCTATGACACTCAATTCAACACTGCGACATTTATTGGATAGCGATGTAGTGCTATCTGGACAGTACTTCGGCACTAAGCTCTCTAGCACATTTTTTGTAAGCTTTCCACTATGGCGCTGAAGGTGTGGTGCTACAGGGTTGGTTGAATTTTGGCGTTCCAACACTATCAAAATTTCCAAAATTTTTAAATAATTTTTGACACAAAACACAAGGATTGCAAATACAAAATAACATAATCATAAGCAATTAAAATAATAATTTTTATCTTATCTAATTCCCAAAATCTTTAAACTATTAGTTGTCTTTAAGTTATGAATACTATACTGGGATAAAAATACTTTATCTTTTGCCTTGAGTATAATTTAAAAAAAAAAATTAAATTAACAATCTAAGTATTTATACAACACATTGGTTGAAAGAGTTTCTAATAAAATAATTTATAAAACTATGATCCCTTATTTTAAATTAATATTTCTTTTAAAACAAACTTATGTTGTAAATAGTGTTTATTAGCTTACATAGGTTTACTGTAATTTTGGGAGTTAATCAAATTGCTTGTTTAGTTAATCATTAAGACTATCTAATTGCTTTCTTTAAGTATTATCCTTCAAGTAATTCCCTTAGGAGTATATAGGTAGGGCTACACATTGCATGTTTCAAGTGATTATATTCAGGTATTTAGTAATTTTATGTTTTTTTTTATTTGGCTTAATACTTTATAAAGATTTTGAATATCTATCTATTGCCTCCATTGATTATTTTTAAGTAGGACGAGATATTGCATGTAGCAAATTTTGATATTTAGGAACTTTAGCCCACTTTGTACACAAATATATGTGTCGATCAAGTAATAATGTGAAAGAGAAGAGTGTCAATCTCATGATAAAAAGTATTTTGCTTAATTGAAATTAAACTACTATTGTCTAATATAGATGCACGATATATCCAATTAAATGAAAAATAATTGTTTTTGAATTCTTGTCACTTAATGGGGACTTGCAAGATAAGCAGATACCAATGCAAGTGAAGTGTTTTGGACTAATGAAAGAAAAACAACATGGTTTTCCTAATGAAACTTTTAATTTTAGATGTGGATTAGAGCATATGCCTTCCTAGATCTTTGTTGAACTTACAAGGGTGAAAAGGGATATTTATGGCCTTCCTATAATTATAATATCCTTATACAACCTAGAAGGTTAAATATCCTATGTCTAGATATGCCAATATTCCATTTTAATACTCCTATTTATTCAAATATTTCTCTGTCGAGGAATATATTATGCTAGATATTAACTACACACATGGACATTATATTAAATTTAAAATAAGAGATATTGAAAACATCTATAAACTAATTCAAGGCATAAGAGTCTATATTAGCGTCATTAGCCCAAAACTCAAAGATTTAACTAGACATGGATAACAATTAAAATTAACTCATGTTCATTTCAACCCATATAAGAAAAAGATATAAGAGAATTAAGTAAGATAAATGTCACCAGGAAAGATCAATTGATTTTCTCCACATTTGTTATTCCTCCAACAATATAATTTCTTACACAATATAGTCTAAGATTTCAAATGAAAGAATCTTTCCATTTGCTAGCCTCCCTTAAGCTTTACCCTAAGTGGGAACTAAAGAAAGACACTCAAAAGTAAGAGACTCCACTAAAAATGATAGAACTATCAACAAAAGAACTAAAAGACTATTTATTATAAGTACATAAATGCCCTCAAGCACCAAGAAGCTCGTTGCATCTTTTGGCTGAGTCAATGCGGCTCCTCATTTTGGTAACTTCTTCACTACGATGCTGTAAAACTTAAGCGCTGTGGCACTTGAAAGTAAAACCCAATTCTGCGGCATTGTGATGATCAATGCTTCATTGTTTAAATTCCTAAGAGTCAAGTTCAATGACACAAACTTTTAATGATGCAGCACTGTGGAGCACAATAGTGTTAACCTTAACTCCATTTTTCTTAAATTCTTGAATGGCCAGCACTGTAATGTTTGAATGTGTTGGGATATTGTAGACGAAAATGCTTTGGCGTGGAATCTATGTGCGTTACGACGCTCATTCCATACTTGTGCATTTTTTTGTTCTTGTGAATAATTCCTGCACAAACATAACTACATGTTGACCCCTATACCTACAACCGGGCGAGAAAGAACCCAAACTAATGAATAAAGAGATACGCGCATTGGCATCACACATCACTTGAAGGGTCAAATGACCTCCAATTGACAAACAGATAATGGTGTTTCGATCAGGACACTGAACTCTGCTGGGTCGAGGCCCCTCGCAATTGAATCGGATGAGATCGGTCAAAAGGGAT